AAAAAAAGTTCTTAAAAAAAAAAAAAGTAAAATAAATAGTAGGGAATCCCAAAATTTTTTTTTGAGAACCAAAAACATGCGGAGTCGTTAATGAGTTGCATAGAGGTCATATTTATATGACAAATTTTTTTATTTTTTATTTTTCCTTGTTAGAAGTATTCGCACCAGTCGTTCGAAATTACGCAATTTTCAATTTTTGATCAAATTTTAGCAGTTTTCAACGCAACGGCGCGAATCAATATTGATGTCGAATCCAGTTAATTTTTTCATTTATGTTCTTTTTATGTGCTCCTATACAAAAACAAAAACACTGTGCTTTTTGATTTAATAAATATATAATGCCTACCGTTCACTGATTTTGATAGAAAAATCAAAATTTGTGTTATTTCAAAGTGACTTTTTGTTGATCTATGAGGTCATTTTCAGTCATGGTGCAATTGTCATTTTTTTACTTCTTATTGGTATCAAATGATGATGTTATTTAAAAAACTACTGTAATTAGAACAAATAAAGCCCAACTCAAAATGGTTACCCCCAAAAGATTTGTTACAGGACTTTCAATATTTCTGTGTAGATTTAACTAGATCAAAATGTGCTGATATGTTTCAGAAATATCTTTTTAAATTTTGTGTGTGTTATTTTAAATTCTCATGAAATTTTAAGTGCTCATCACAGAGCACCGCGGTACAGAGTTTTACTACGAAGTTCACCCTAATTTCATTATCAATATCGTTTATATTAATCCTTGGACCTTCGATATTAAAGCAAGAACTCTTACCACTGCTATAGCTGCTATTATATTTATTATATATATAATAATTTTTTCCTTTTAAGACAAATATCTCTAGAAAATACATAATATAATATTTTTTAAATATATTTTCAAGGTTTAGAATCTACAGTAAGGTATTGAATCGAAATTCAAAGAATCTGGGAAAATATATGATTTAAGGCCTGGTGGATGGTCTTTATTAAACAGAAAACTGTTATCAGAAGGGATTTTGGCTTTGATTCTACCTATTACCTAATACCAACCGTTGGGTTGAATAAAGAACTTTTGCCATCTTTTCCATTTTTATGTAGTGATCTTTATTAGAACATGTTAGCGCCAACACCACGGTTGATGGATCTAAATACCACATGGTTTTGCAATGATTTTAATACCACTTCTGCGGCAGGCTCATACTCATTGTATTGGCACATCTGCCAATAGTTTTGTTGATCCTAAGAGTGAGTTAAAAACAATATATAGTAAGTATAGCAATATATATAGTAAGTAAGGTTAATAATGACACTTATAACATCTAATGTAATAAGTGTCATTTGTTTAGGCCATTATTCTAAAATAATTTAGTTGTTACTTTTTTGAAATAAATTTTTCTTAAATTATGACACTAATATATTAATATTTAGGAAATTAGGTTTTACTTCAAAAGCTGCAGAATCAGAAAACTTGCATGTCAAAAACCACGATGCCCAGAAAAGAGAAATGTGGTCAGCCATTCTGTTGATCTCTTTGACAATTTCATCACTCAGAAAAAGGACCTGTCTGATCTTAGGGAGAAGCAAATTGAACCTCATATAGTACAATGCCTTTGCCATGAACCTGGCATGTGAAATAGCTCCGGTTTTGTTAATTTTATACCTAACTGTCTGATCTTCTTCAAGGAACATAACTACAAGCTCTGCCAGTTCACAATAATCTTTGCCCTTCTCAAAAGTCTAAATGTATATAATTAACAATTTAATTAGAAACTTATATATTTCTTCTTTCTATAATTTTGGTATAAAGGTATTTTAAACTGATATACTTCTTAATTTTAACCTTACCTGACTATTTCTTAACTTTTTTTTATCTATCAGATCCTTGCAAGCCAATAGAGCCTGCTTCTCAAACCAGACACCTTTAACATTCTGGTGCTTAAATTACAACAGCATCTTCTCTTTTTTTGCATCAATAGCATGCCAGTTCTGCTTTAGAGATTTAAATAGTTGATTCTCCGGTCCAACAGATTTGTTTACTGCAATTTCATTGCAAAAGTGTTTTATATGGAGCTCTCCTACATGATGGCAGCAGGCTAACAAAAACAATGGTCGGCCATGGAAATTAGCTAATCTTGCACAAGCTCCTTTTAAATAGCCAGTGTTTGAAACAGTGGTATCAAAACAAACTCCGTGGATAAACTGCCCTAGATCAAAAGAGTCTAATAGATTTTGAATTGCTGTGAACTGAGCCTCACCACTGCCGTGTTCCAACCCTTGAGCGCCTAACAGATGGGACTGATTTTCATGCTTTATAAGTACACAAATTCGGTCTTTTGTCTCATTTATGCTACCCGTATAATCTTTGATAATTTTGCCATCAAAATGCACAATGATGGGTTTGCCGCTCTCCTTACCATAGTGGTTATGTTTGCTCTAAGAACAGCAGCAGCTTTTCTTATTATTGTATCACAAATCCTCTGAGTAGAGCTGTGGGATAATGTTACGTTTTCGATATCTCCACCAGCATTGCAAAGAAAAGAAGATATAAGTGCTGTTGCCTGGTAGATTTTCCCATCCCAATAGCAGTTCTGGTAGTTTTTGAAAAAATGTCTTTTAATATCTTTACAGACATTTTTTTAACTGTCTTCTTCGAAGCGTTACCAACCTTAAAATCGTCTTCGGAACTCCCATCATTATAGTCCAAGTCTTCATCAGTAACCATTTCACTTTCAGAAGAAAATCCCGATAAATCATGGATAGTTTTTTCAATTATACCAGAGGTTTTATAGTTATTTTTTGATGCAGATCTTTTACTTACATCTACAAAGCGACCGTCCAACGCTCCAATCACCATCCTTCTGCAATCTAGCTGGTCCCGTATGAGGGTTAAATCATCAATCTTATCTGCTACCAGTCTTAGTCTATCAGTCTTTAAACTATGTTCAAGAAGCGTAATGTCTTTTCCAGCCCAAAATATTCCTTTAAATTTAATTTTATTAGGTAAGAACAAGAAAAAGTAAACTATTTACTTCACAATAAATTGGCTTAGTATTGGCTGTTTGATAATGTTTTTGAAAATGTTAAAATTTAATATTTATCACCTACCTGTCATTGATTTCTCAAATTTATTTCTTGTCTCAAGATAACCAATTCCAATTTTGTTCTTGGAGTTCTCCAAGGAATTAAGATCCCAAAAAGGATACAACTGACATGGCATAATTCATTGTTTGTTATACATTTTAATCTATGAAGAACTTACATAAATTAAAAACATAACTTATAAAATTGTCCTTAATATATTTGACATAAAACATGAAATAATGTTCTTATCTATTGATTTCTAAAGCTAAAAGCTTACTTGAAAGTTTTGGACATTAAAGGACAAGCAATGAGATCCTTTAGTGCTTTCTTTGGAAATTGTTCTCTTAAAAATAAGAAGCATTGGATAATGTGATAATAAAAACAAACCAACTGCCCGTTAGGGGCAGTTGGTTTGTTTCCATTCTATCCAGAGTGACGTTAACTAGGAACATGCTGTTGCAACTTGATCTCCTTTTTTTTAACCCCTCCTTGGGACAGGGATACACCTCAGATACTTTTGTTGTCATAGCTAGCTTTAAAAAAAAAAAAATCATAATGATGTTCATTGTTTTAAAACACTATAAACGTTTTCATAATTTGTATGAAGTTTAAAATTATTTAAAAGGTTATTTATAATACTATAAATGTTTAAATAACCTAATTTATTTAACTATAATTATAAAATATAACACATAATTATGTTATGTTGTTATAATAAACTTACTTGAGGTGGAAATAATTGATTTTTTACAATTAAAAATTGTTAAGTAGCTTGATAAACGATTGTTTTATAAACTGTGCTTTTTTAAAATCTTATCCATTTTTTTGGGTTTTAAAAGTATCACCTGGTATCAAATATAATAATAATAAAAATGCGCACAATCGGTATGGATAAAAAACCTTCCATTTGTATTGACGCAATTAAATTGTTAAAGGTTTATAAATTTCTATTCGTGCTAATCATTTGAAAATGCCCTTAAAACTCAAAAAATTTGAAAAAGTTAATCTTTAAATCAATGGTGCAAGTATAAATACTCATTCCAAATAAAAAATATAAAAATCTCATTAACAAACCAATACTTTGGGAACATTTTGAGACACTCCGTGAAATAAAATTTGTTCATGAGGGTCAAAATGGGATGGCCTAATATATAGGTATATATTTTTTTTGACAAAATTTTTATTTTTAAATTTTTAAATTTTTTTTTAGTTTTTTTTAGATATTCTATTCATATATTATCTCTTTCCTTTCTTCTATTGTTGTTCTATTCTCTGTAGTTTCTTATATGTTTCATTTGCCTAAAATTCCTAAAATGCTTACTATATAAAAATGTGGTCAAGTTGTCTAAAAAAAATTACTTAGCGTGAACTAACAAGGGCTTCCGGGAAGGCTTGGGTAATAAGAAAAAAAGTTTTTTAAAGGTGAGAGATTATATTAAAAAAATGAGTTATCATTTCTTTGATATATACTTGATGTTCAAACAAACAAGTTTTTAACATCAATCAAATTTATAATAAATATAATTTTACTTCAAAGAAATCCATGCAGAATTAAAGTTCTATAATTCTAGTATTCAAAAAAAGTTGATATGTATTTCTAAAAAATAACACAGTAAGACAAGTTCATACCATGCAACTTTTTAACAAACTTAAAAACCGTGTCATACTTTGGGCAAAATAAACGATTCTGTAAACTCTGGATTTACCTGTACCTAGTATGTACTAAAAACCCTGCATTTCCCTATTTTAGTATAACATAATGTTTTATGCTTAGAAATATGTATTTAAATATTCAGGTAGCCTAAATATAATAAAGATTTTTTTGTTATAATTGTTCTTAAAGATAATCATAATAGTATGCATAATGCTTCATTTTCTTTAAATATTATTTATCCTAAAAAAAAATTGTTTTGAAAATAACTTCTTTTATTTAGGCGCCAATCAAATTACTGGTTCTGATGTTTTGTATGTTAATAATGGAGCAACAGCATCATTTAAATGGGTGTTCAACTTTCAGGATAGTGACATTCTTTTATTGAGCATTAATACAGAAGGTTCAAAACTTCCAGATATTGTACGAAAAGCACCAAACAGTCCTATTTCTGTGAATAGTAGAAATCCTATATATGCCTCACGCACTCAAGTTAGTAGGCCAGCTGGTATAAATGGTATTATTGTTGATATCAGTACCATTGGAATCACAGACGAAAATTTGTTTTTTTGCAAAGTTATTTTTGTTGACCAATCAGCTGATGTTGTTAACAACACTCGTTTAATTGTAGTAGGTATGATATTCTGATAAAATTTTAACTGTAGTATAAATATTGTTATACTAATATTTGTGAGAAAATTTTTTTTTTTTTTAGTAATAGCTGTGAGTATAAAAGTAGAGTTTAAGTTAATTCAAATAATTTTATCATATTTTTAATTTTTATTTAAAAACTTAGGCATATAAATTTGCCAAATAATCACACAAGCAATGAATGAGGGAAAAATGAAGTACATTAGAATAGAGAAGAATTATTTTTCGAACAAAGCATATTTTGATAATTGTCGAGACAAAAATAAAGGTTAATAGAAAAATATACTAAAATTATGTAATATACTAATATGGTGAATAAAAATATACTAATATGGTGACAAAAATAAGACAAACAGTGCACCCAAACAATACTTACAATAATAATTTTTTTTTTTTTTTTACAAACGCTTAAAATGAATAAAGATAAAAAGTATGCATACAACAATGTAAGGCTTAAGAATGGAAAAAAAAAAACATTAAAATGTGGAAATTTAATTTGTGTAGTGGTTAAGTAATAAACATGTCCTCAGAGTTGCATTTATTATTACTGGCATTTCGATGAGGATCAGCACCAATAGCTAGTTTATCTATGTCATCACCACTTAGATAGATATTAGTCAGATATTAGTCATCGTCACTTATGCTTTACCCCGGGACCTACACCTATTCTATACCAGGGTAATTCCATGTCAATTGAGCCAGAAAATTTCAAAAATGTCACCATACATCTAAGATTTTGCTGATTTTTATACAGTTGAGAGTACTTAGTAAAACAAAAAATCCTTGAAAATTTTAGCTTCTAGCTCCAAGAGGATCATGAAATATGATCATTTTACTTTTAACTGATCTTGGTCAGGCCTCTCTTGTCCCCTCAGAAATTTGACCTTTGTTTAAAGGTTCCAAGTCACATAGCTTTAAAAACATTTAATCTTTTGACTTAAAAATTTTTACCTAGTTATTTTCAGGGTTGAAGAATCCAATGAAATAATCAGAAATGTAAAAAAATATTTTTAAGTACCTGTAATTATCAATTTAAATAAATTTAGGCAATTTTCTATATACCTGATTTTGATGCTCAAGAAAGCCATGTGGCCTTGATGATATAAAAAAAAAAAATTGTACACATTATTCTATGTTTAATGATCTTTCAGAAAACATAAAAATTTTGATCTGCAAGTATATTGATTTCCATATATGGTTAACGGGGCACAGGCTCCACTATTTTGTACCGGAATCTTGCCATACATTTTTCACTACCTTTCAGACTAGCTGGAACGATGAAAATTTTGGTATTTATGTAGTGTCAATAAATGTGCATTTTAAAATTAAAAAATGGCCCAAGACACTAGGGGAGGGGGCTGGAGGGATGTGCCCCACTTTTTTGACCAGAATCTTGAGATGGATTTTTCAGTATCTTCCAGACTAGTTGGAGCTTTGAAACTTTCAGCATTGTGTAGTCCTGATGAAGATGCGTTAAAATTGTTTCAGGTCAGATGACCAGAAGGTCCATGAAGCTGGGGCACTGGGGACCATGCCCCGCTTTTTTTCTCAAAAAAATTTTTTTTTTTTTTAAACACATGTCTTAAATTTAAGATAGCTTTGAAAATATTGTATTCAAAAATTTTATTGCTTTAAGCTTGTTCCGTTTTACTTCATTATTTACAAAATAAAATACAAAAAAAAGAAGTTGTCAAGATAATGCTAAGATTAGCTTAGATGCATCGACGGTCAAGTAAACAAATGTCCAATTGTTGTTACAGGTGCATCAATTATACAAGTTATGTTGGTAATTGGAACCCAACACTCATCTACTCTAGATGGCCAGAAAAGTTTATTAAAAGGACCCTGCGGGTGCATAAACGTTACCATAACATCTTGCTCTATATTATCAATTTCATTGATCATACCAATCCAATCAAACGCATCATATTTACACATAATGAATTCACCATTTCAAGGCATCAATGTTAATTTTCTGATCATTTTGAGAACTTTGAATACCAGAAAAATAAAATATGCCTGTTATATGAACATCTTCACTTGTTAAAAGCTAATAGTATCTATAGCTAATAGTATCTGGTTTAAATTGATGATAGCTATAATCCCTAGTTCCAGGGATTTTTCTACTTAGCTCAAAACGTGATTTTAAAGTGGTGCGCAATTCTGACAGTCTTTCTTTTTCAATCTTTAAAAAAATAATCCCTTTAATATTGTTAGTACAGTAGTCAAACATTTTGTTACAATTCAATATCTGGTCGTTTATGGGCCTTTATCATTTATTGTAAAGTTTTTTGTGGTTTTTATACTGTGCAGCACAACCATCAGAAAAATAAAGAATCTTTGAAATTTTAGGATGATATTCTTTTAAATAGTTAACTATTTGTGTTTGAACTTCATACACAAAACCAGTGTCATGCTCATTATCTTTTGACATGAAACAAAACGATTTTTCTTCAAGTTGGTCATTTTTGTTTGATAAATAGAGGGCAACGGGGTGCAATGTGCATTGACTTTTGCACCAATAGTAACTTTGGATTTCATCTTGAATCACAAAAGTGAAGTTTTCAGCAAAGTCAACTAAGACAATACAGCAGTTTTTTGCTAAATTTTCCTTTTGTTGCTTTAGGTATCTTGATTGACATTTTGCAATGTAGGAATGAGCTGTTAACTTGTTTATTGCCTCTGATAGCATCAATTTGTATTCTTCAATTGTTGTTGTCTGATAGATCAATGTTGCTCTGTCTGTTTTCTGCCACTGATTGAATGACACCTCCTCGTCATTGTCATTGTCAATTAGTTGTGCATTCAGAAACTTCTTTAAAGAAACTATACCTGGACAGTTCGGACATTGATAAACCATGCACTTGTTACTTGTCACATCACAAACAACTTTTGTCATCATATCTTCATAAATACATTTCATTTGTATAGCATTGGTCAATAGTATTACATTTTGATGGAGGGTACATACACAAACAGAATGAGTGCCTGATGCTCCAACAGTTATACACCATTTTGGTCTTAAACTGCAAAACTTAGAAAATCTAATAACTTCTTGAGGATATTTAGTTTTAAAAGAAACATAAAGTTCTTTAAGATTACATAAAATAAGGCGCTTTTGCATGTGTTGTTTTCTACCAATGCTTACGTAATCTTTTTTACCAGGCGTTTTTCTCGTAAATTCTTCATCATGGTATATATTGTTGACTCTATTTAATGTTATTTCTGAAAATGTTTTTCTTTTCTTAGTGCTTGGAACTGAAAAAATCCCACTTATTTTCTTCAGTTTGCGCGCTTCTTTAATTTGGTATATAGTGACGTTGAAATATCTTCCAGCAAAATTTCTTGACCAAGACTCGGGTGTAAATGTTAACAACTGAATTTTAGTTTTTTGGTCAGAAACAATTAACTTTTATTTTATTTTTGCTGTTAGTTTGTTTAAATCATCACATTTACTTTTGTCAATAATTTTCGTATGAGGAATTGTATGTTTCAGTTCTTCTTCCCTAACATTATATACTTTTGAAATATGCTCTTCATTCTTTGACATTATTTTTATAACTTTACTTTTAGCAACAGATAGCCGTTGATGCTTTGGAATGCCATGAAATTTTATGGGGGACACATCTATTGTTTCCAAACTAACATTTAATGCCTCTCGTTACTTTTCAGAAGTAGCACATGAAATAGATTCCTCAAATTCACAGTTATCTTGTTCATGAAATTTACTGATTATAGCATCAAAGCAGCTCCGACAAAGTTGATATCCAGGCACAACATTTGGAAAATTAATTCTCAATTGTTTTGCCATATCTAATGTTATTACATGACTCCCTGAAAAGAAAAGAACAATTTGATTTTAGTAATTACCTATGAATATGAAAATTATTTGTACTTATTTCAATATATATTGCATAACCAGATCAGCTTTTTTTCAAATTTTTATAAACTAGTAGATTTTAATTTTATTATTCAAAAAAGATTCAAAATTTTTTATCAACAATATTTACCTTTGATTGCTTTTTTTTTTGATTTATCTTTCCTTGTCCAATAAATTTTTTTTTTGATTTATCTTTGCTTGTCCAATAAATTACAACATTGTGTGTGCTTCTTTTCAAAGTGTGTACCAAAAATCTTTTCATGATGAAGGCAGATTGTTAAAATTTTATCATCTGTTATTCCAGATCTCAAAATAAATTCTTCTCTGGCATCTTCTCTATAGCAATCAAATTTCTTTAAATCAATCTTTCTACAATAACTTAGTTTATGACAAGTATCATTTAATTTTTTTCCAAAATCACATGAATCCATTCTTACTGTAACACTAAAAACATTTTGAGATTAATTTAAAAATGAGAAACCAATAATAATTAATTCAATGAAAGCAACTTAAGCAATCGCCATGGTAATACAAAACTAAACAGTGATTGATTTCTTTTATCTTACTTTGACAAAAAGAAAGTTTCCATTTCACAAAGTTTAATTATAATCAATTTGTTAATGTTAAAAATGTTAATGATGACTTTAATAGGTAACAAATTTCTTCTATACTAGTGTAATGACAGGATGTTTTTTGTTACTGTGAATAGTTCTTATTTAATAAAATAACTTGCTGTTAACATTTTAGAATTAGCAAATATCAAATAAAAAAATGATTTTGAAAAATTGATAAATTTCTTTTTTATCGATGTAATGTTATGACAGGATGTTTTTTTCTGTTGGAAGTTAATTAAACAACTTGCTGTTACCATTTTAGCATTAAAATATATTAATCTTTTTTAATTAAAATTTTAAATTATACAAAATAAAATTCTGTTAAATCCATTATTTTAGACTGTTTTTAATCTTATACATGCAAATCAAAATTCTTATAAACATTAACTTTCTTAAAACATTTTAAGTAAGATCATTGAACATAGAATGATCAAAAACCAAATTGAACAAATATAGATCACAAAAATTTGTAAAGCAATGTTATCAAAG